TTAATTTTTTCACTGATTCAGCTACTGATTAGACTTCTGATCGAAATTTATGGTTTCATCACTTTTTAAAACAAAGGGAGTTCAACAGAAACAGAAAATAAAAGGAAAACAATTCAATATATTTTATAATATGTTTAGTAACGCTTTGAAATATTATTACCTTCTGTTTTCTCTCTCCATTTAATATTTAACCACGGCCACTATCCTCTAAAAAAAAATTTTCATAACAACTAATAGGTTGTTAATATTAGTCCCTAAACCTTGAATACTGTGGGGATTTAGCCCTTAAACTTTTACTTTTAGTAAATTACTTCTTGAATTTTTTTCTTTTACAATTTTAATCTGACACTAAAATAATAATAAAAAATCTAAAATTTAACGGCATAATCATATTTCTACCGTGTGATAACTTAAAATTTTATAAAAGTAGTTACATGTTATGTACAAAATGATTTCAACACTGTTGTAAAAACTCACTGAGAATTATAATATTTTGTATTTAATGTAATTATTTATGTAAAATATTCAGTTATTATGTCATTTGGATGTAATTATCTATATAAAATTTCAAAAATCCTTTGTTAATCTAGTGTTGGGAATCAAAACTATCAAAAAACAAAACATCATAAAATAATTTACTTAAATTAAAAGTTCAAAGAGAAAATTACCACAATGCGTAAAGTTTTGGAACTAAGGGCATCTCTTATGCAATGTTATAATTAATGTGCCAATTACAAATTTAATATTTGAGCAATGCAATGTTATTTGTTGTGCTAAATTTTCCATATGCTATACTTTGTGGTAAATTTCTCACCAAGTATAGCATATGAGAAATTTAGCATTTGATTATTATTGATTGAAATGTTTACTTTTTCCATGTAATATCAATACAACTTTTACATTTTTTTTAATTATTTTAAAAGTAAAAGTTTACTTTTACAACTTCCAAAGCTAAATAATTATAGGAAAAAATAGATTTAGCATTTCAAATAGTATTATGTATTAGAGCAAAAATGAAAATAACATATCATATCATAATTTTTTATGCTAAATAGACAATTAATATTAACATTTACATTAGAGATGGTCTAATAGTTCTAATCATGCCATTAAAATCCCTTCAATTTATGGAGATATCAAGTGTAAAAAAAAAGGGTGGAGCACTCTTCAAACTTTTTTTAATATCGAACAACTTTATTTAATATCAAACTGCTAGTCTTTTCTAGAAGGAATAAATTATTAAAGGCTTGAAGTGTGTCACACTTCAAACAGTCTTTTTAGAGAAGAAATCAACTGTTTATTTTTAATATGGGTTTTTAGCATAATTGTCCTCTTTAAATTTTAATTTTGATAATTAACTCCCTGAATTTGTAAAATTTTTACACTGTGCCTCACTTACTAAATTTTCTCAATTTTTTTATTAGATTTAAGGGATTAAAAGTTAAGAAATTTAAAGATGTGTATTACATTTAAATTGAGACGTTAAAATTTTTCATCATATTTTTTTTATACTAATTTAACACAATTATCGTCAAAATTAGACATATTACAATAATTTTACAAGTTAAGGAGGGCAACTTGCTAAAATTAAAAATTTAGAGAGTAAATTGCTAAAATCATACAAGTTCAAGAGTAAAAGTGTAAAATACCCTTTTAATGAAAACAAAACGGCTTCTTTTAGAAATAGGAGAAAATTTAGAAAAGTTTTTTTTTTTTTTTAAGAAAAAAAAAAGAATAAATCATTGGAAGACTATTCCAGCAAAGCTGAAGTTGGCGCGGAGTTGAAAATTTTCCTATCCTCAATATTGCTCCTCTTGTCTATTTCTTCATTGTTGTCTTTATTACTTATCCATTGTATTGCCATTTTGGCTTATGAAAACCTCGTTTTATATTCTCGTACATGAATGAAATAAGACTTGGGTATATTTTTAATTTGTTTCTTTCGTTCTATCATAATTTTAACTCTGCGTTCTCACGGCTCGGTTGCATTTTTAAGTTATGGTGATTTGAGTATAAATCTTGAGTTAAATTTAAGTTGAAGTTGTACCTTGAGTTTGTATTTAGATGTGCACATTTGAGTTATGATTTAAATTTAGAATATATTTAAGTTTGTGTTTGGGTGGGTCAAAATTTGAATTTATATTTATATAGTATTTTAATAAAAACTCAATGGTGATGAAAAATTTTAATAGGGTATATGAGTGAGGTTTTATTCGTATCTTCATTGTGAACGCATAAACAAAAATTATCTCAATCAGAATTAAAATGAAAATGTTATGACGTTTTTAAGAATAGAAAAATATTGTTCATTAACTTGAGTTTGAGTTTAAATAATGATGACTTAAATATTTTTTAAGTTGAGAATTTTCTTGGTAACTTTGTAATAATATTTTTGAATGAAAATTTTTAGAACTTTAAGTTAATTTCTAAAATTCTATGTTTAATATTAATTTCGGCACTTTATAAGTACACTTACGTATATTCTAGTTTAATTATTGTTTAAGATTCATGAACATTTCTCCTGAGTTTAAGGTGAAGATAATTTTGGTTAGTCAAATACCAGGAATTCAATACAGAAGAATTTTCAGTACGGTAGGTGTTAAGTGTTAACAATGTTTAGATCAACACTTTAAAATAAAGGAAAAATAGACAAATATCCTTTAAAATGTACAAGTCTTAAATTTTTATTTTTTATACTTGATTAATACCCTTTAGTCCAAGAACTATGTTAGTCAAAAGAGTATTAATCTAGAGTAAATGGTAAAAATCTTAAAACAATGCATTCAAATGCTAACTTGGCCAATTTTCTCTTAAAACAATTATGAGATGTTAGAAGCCCGTACTCGTGAAATAGAGAATTTCGTGTAATTTAGCGTAAAAAGGGTAATTCTGTCATTTTTTATTGGGATTGAATTTTTCCCGAAAACCGAGCCATTCCTGACTAAAAAAAAGAAAATTTATAATTCTAAGTTTAAAATTAAGTTGAAAACTCTCTCCTGAGGCGGTTAGGGTTTCGAATTTAGGATCTCTTCTTAGGGCCAAAGTCTGGCACCACTACTAATTGGTCGCCATACTCTTAGCCTTTAAAATGGTGGCTATGGTCGTGTAGGTGTGGTCGATGGTTGATGGGCGCGGTTCATGGCGATGGAGGCATATATTTGGTGAGGAGCGGGGGGTTGCAGGTGGGAATGTGGTGCATGGGGCATCGTTTAAGTTGTTTTTGCGTTCAGCTTCGTTGGTGGCGATTGCGCTTCTGCTACGACGGCTCTGCTCAAATCTAATTTCTTTGGCTTCCATACAATGGTTGTTGGTTTGTCGTCGGCATCTATTCATGTATGTCTGAGGCTATTCATAGGCTTCATAAGATTTTTTTTAATTTTAATAAAGGCGTTTTTTTCACCAAGCTTATGTATTATAATAACGGAGGTGGTTTCCCCACTTTCTGATTTTGTTTTATGTGTCCCACTCGTCGAGTTGATTATCAACTGTGTGTGTTTGTTTACACCTATATTTATTTTTAGGTCATGTCACTTGTATCTCCAATATTAGGAGTTTGGTCTCGGTCGACTAGTTTTAACCATCAACCTTAGTGGTTATTGTTAACAAGGTTTGGTCTTTCTCTATTGAGTGTTGATACTTTTGTTCGCCCTTGTGCTTCATCCGTCTTCAATGGTGGAGCCAGTCAATGTCCAAAATCGAATTCTTTTGTAAGTTGTGGTCATTTGTAATTATTTTTGTAATTTGTTAATTATTAATAAAAATTTTCCGTTCAAAATTAAGTTAGAAACTACCTAAAATTAGACTGTGAAAACATAGAAAGATAACTAGGTTTTAAAAAGTCAACAAAATGACAAGAAATAGTGAATCTTATCACTTAAAGAAGGATACATTCTACTATGCACAAACAGTGACAATTTAAGAGTGATTTTAAGTGTGGAATTTGTCTTTCAAGTTAATTACTTTGATCTGACGGATTCTGGTGCAGTTGAATATGAAAAGTGAAGTTTAAACTCATTCAAGGAGTTCAGATAATTACACCGTTTGTACAAGTACGTCTATAATCATCTCTCTAAAATTAACACATAATCTACATTCGATTGGTTGGCCAAACTTGCTGGTTCTTGCCTTTTGAATGAAACTTGAAATCAGGGTTCACAGATAAGCAACTGACGAGACTATCGAGCTAATGCAAAAGGTCCAATACATTATAATCATTTTTCTCAAAATTTTTCAAATTATTTATTCATATTATTTACCCATCTCATTTTTTTTAAAATTTCTAAATGACTTAAAATACAATAAACACTAAAATAAAATCCGACACTTGCAATTATTCACACACGCATTACAATAAATTTTTTAAGATACGTGCCCTCTCTTATAATGATTTGAACCTTTTTAGTTTAAAACATGATTCATAGATTCAGAATCATTCTCTATTTACGTGTGTTTTTTATGAGAAAAAATATTATAACGAGTTACAAATCATAGTTTGAACCATAACACAAATCCGCGTACCAAACACCCGTATAGTTTTGAAAAGTGTGATTTAAATCTTAAAAACTTAAGAGAGAATCACGGTTTATACCTTTTTATTATAATGTTTTTTCACAAAAATTTAAATTTTAACACAGTTTTTAGTTTAAATCTAAGAACCAAACAACACTTTGAGTTTTTCGAACCACTATTTATTTTCTACAAACACGAATTAAAATATTGTTTATGATTTAGGAGACGTTTGGTTCATGGATTAGAATCATAAGATTAGAACTATTTTCAATTTACGTGTAATTTTTGTGAGAGAAAATACTGTTGCGAACCATGAACCATGATTCGAATCGGGGTACGAATCCCCCAACCAAACAACCTCTTAAAGTTTCAAACCATGTGAACTATTGAACCAAACAACCAACAAAAGACCAGGGTTAAGATATTTTCGAGACCAACTAATACAAGAAATCAAATGAGTTTTTATGATGAATTGCACATTAAACCCTTTATGTACAAATGTCTTTCAAATAAGGACTTTAGGAAGTGGGAGAGTATTGCTTCCACAGTCTACTAGTCTAAGCTTAATTTGAGTATTGCCAGTGGCAACCGAACGTGAAACATAATAAGAACTTTCAAAAGATATTGAGATGAAATGAAAGAAAGATACAACTATTGTTGTATTGCTTTGTAGCAATACAAAATTACACCTACTACAACATTTAGATGATTAACATCACCTCTCTTGCTTACTACTGCTTCTCTATTGTTGTATCTTTTCTTCTTCTTTTTTTTTTTTCCTTTTTTTTTTTTTTTGTTTTTGTTTTTTGTCTTCAAAGTTCAAACCGAGGCCACATATTAACCACAAGAAACATAAAGAGGAGGCCAAGAATATAACCGTCTTCCTTTCTCAAAATATGCCGTCACCGTGTCCACCTCCAAAAGAAGAACACAATGACAACAGTGAATAGCATCCCTGCATACTTGATCGATCTATCAAGTCGGTGTCGTCTCTCAATCAGCTTCAACACAGAGTTGGACAGCCCCACTGTGTTAAGAACGTCCAGCGCTTTCCTTTGTGCCCTCTAGAACAAGCATCAATAATTAAATTTGAACACATTAAACCGAAATTCAGATAACAGAAATATTATCGCCTGAAAAACAAGGAAGCAACAAGTTTTTCTTCTATTTTTTATATTGATTAATCCTTTTGGTCTGAAACAGATAAAAGAACTTCATCACCATATAGATAAGTATAAAAAGATATAGCCTGCTACGAAATTGTGTTGTAAAACTATAACTCAAAGGACCACCACAGTAAGTTTTAAACATATATATTGATAAAATAAATGGAAGAAAGGTTAATTGAATATTTTCCAAGTTTCATATGCATCAAACTGAAACGTAATAGATTCTAAGATTACCGACTGCAATATGTTAAGAACCTGGTTATCACAGCTCAATTTTAGAAGGCAATCATAGTGGTTTTATTGATCATCACCGACACTGGCTCATAGAATTTTACAACCAAACTAAGAAAAACGTAAAGAAAGCTTAGGATGGACTAGAGTATTCGAGGACTCCAGAAAACTCCTAACTTCAATGGTACTCAAGAGACCACCAACTCTCTCTAATCTCAGTCTCCCAAAACTCTCAAAATCACAGCCTTTCTTAGTGAGCTATTAAGTCTTTTATTTATACTAATTCCTACTAACTCTACCAGCCCACTAACCAAACAAGTTCCCAAGTCATTAACGGATCCTAACATTACCCCCACCCCAAAAAAACAAATTGTCCTCAAGGTGTTAAGTAATTGCAGCTATGTGATTCCACTTCCTTCCAATCTTGAAGAGCTTGGATCTTGGAACATCGGACGGAATGATTCGTATAGAACTTGCTTTAAATGTCCTTAACTTTATTTTTTCAACTTCACACTTTTGTTTGGAGCTGAAATTTAGAACCACTTTAAAGGCAACGAAACCATGAAGCTCAGCCTCAAAATCATCCTTGTAGCAATGGAAGACCTTGTTGGGCAACTCAAACAATTCAGTTTTAACAAAAACCTTCCTCCCACAAGCGTTATCTTGCTGCAGTGCATGTTCCACCACGCCAGAGAAAGCTACCTTGTTGTTTGTCAGAACATCAACAATGGAGGACAACTGCAAGTGTACACTCTCCATTCCTTTGTCAACAGCCCCAGAATTGCTGCAAAGAGAATCAAATTCATCTTTTAAAATACAAGAATGGACTCCACTGTTTAACTTCTTTCACTCGTGCAGCAAACTCCGGCTCTATAGTAACAATCCTTGGAAAATTTTGATGTCATTGACATCTTGTTTCCCATATCTTGAAGCCCCTCATTACTAGCACCAGATTGAAAACCAACTTTATTTTCAATGCCTTGGTCCACCTTGCCATCAAAATTCTTCATAGTCAAGTCTCCTTGAACATCCATTTGATCTGAAACATCTGTTGTTTGAGCTGGAAGCAACCTGCTTAAACTGCCTACCACTTGCTCTTTATCAACTTCCAATTTTGTAATGACAACTCTCTCTAAAACCGAATTTGAAATCTCTTTCCCAGGTTTGGCAAGTGCCTTAAATTGTAATCTATAGTCAGCCATGGTATCCTCTTGACGTTTCACCAAGAAACTCTCATGTAAGGCCTCATCGGATGACAATCTGAAATGCTTAAGTAGATGAGTCTTCAATTCATTCCAACTGTAGAACGGGCAACGAGCATCCTGCCATCGATACGAAGCCAAAGCATCACCCTTCATAGCCATTTCAGCAGCTTGGATTTTCTCATTGTTCGCCATTCTATAGAACAAAAAGTATCGTTTAGCTAAAGACCCACCCATCAGGGTCTTCTCCGGCGAACAATGGCATATCCATTAGCCAAAATCGTTGATCCGTTCGGCCCTCCCATAGGGTGTCGTGCCACCTTTCCCTCCCTACTCAAAAAAACCCTTGGATTGATTCTGAGTCCAATTCGAGAATACCCAACTCTCTCACTCAAATCAAATTGCAAAACCCAATCTCCCTCACCCAATTCAAATCGCCCAGACCTAGCCCCATTCATGCCAAAACTTGAAGATCCAGTCCATATTTGGCTGTAATTGGCTCTAATCTTGCTGTAAGTTCGAGGCCCAACCCAAACATCACCGGAATCAGTCTCAATCACATCAGAATCGCAAAACCCAGACCTAGGGCCGCCGAAATTTTAGGACCCAACCCTAATTTCGCCGGAATCTGCCCAAATTGGGCCGAACTCGCGTGACACAGTCTGAATTCGGCCGGAATTAGCCTCAGATGCACCGGAATCGCGACACCCGGCCCAAATCCGGCCAGAATCACCTTTGAACGCACCGGGATCGCGAAACCCAGCCCCATCTACGCTCGATCTCGTCGCGAATCTGTTGTCGTTCACTTCAGATCTAGTTGATCTAGCTCCGAGGCACGAAAACTCACTCCAATCAATTCGCATCTCCACCTGTGTCCCACGCCGGCGTGAATCGCCCATCTCAAGTCGCATCTCTGGCGTCGTTTGCTGGCGTTGGATTTGCAGACTAGTTCGCATCAGCCAAGGGTTGGTTCTTCTCAGATCTGAACGTCTCAGCACCAAATCGCGACAAATAGCTCCAATCTTCATCAGTCTCGCGCGATTTCAGATCTGGTCGTCTTCCCTTCATCGTCGCTCGCCGGCGCAGTTCGTACAGTTCTGAACACTTCACCACCGGCGACGATTGGTGGCTCTGGTTCTCGAAACCCCACGATTTCAGACCCTTCTCACCCTTTTTTTTTGTAATATTTTTTTTTTTTTTTTTAAGAACGATGCTAAAGATTGATGCATTGATACCAAAATGTTAGGAACCTGATTATCATAGCTCAATTTTCACACAGAGCAACAAGAATAGAAGGCAATCAGAGTGGATTTATTGATCATCACTGACACTAGCTCATAGAATTTTACAACCAAACTAAGAAAAACGTAAAGAAAGCTTCGGGTAGACTGGAGTATTCGAGAACTCCTAACTTCAATGGTATTCGAGAGACCACCAACTCTCCGTAATCTCAGTCTCCTAAAACTCTCAAAATCATAGACTACCCCTAGTGAGCTACTAAGCCCTTTATTTATACTAATTCCTACTAACTCTACCAGCCCACTAACCAAACAAGCTCCCAAGTCATTAACGGATCCTAACACAATAACTCAAAAGACAAGCATACATAAAGCATGATCCGAAAAGGTGTTGACACGCATAAATACAAGGAGAAGACTCACGGAACCTATGACCATTTAAAACCCACTAAAAGAAGAATCTTATAAGTTATAAGCAATGTGGAGAAACCACTCATAGAAAAAAGCACAAACGCTTGTACATTCTGAATCAAAGATAGTAGCAAGGGACTCTCCTTGAGAATTCAGGTGCCAAAATTATGCAACTTTTTTTCTTTGTTTGCATTCCTAATATGAAGTTATTGTTTGAATTCAAGTCCTCATTTATTCTTGTTTCATTATATCACTGATTACATATTTTGTGTGGTTTTGCATTTCTTTAGGTCGCTGCATTGTATTTTGTAAATTTCATTTTCGTTAATCACTTAATTAGATTTCTTCTAGTTCTACTTGTATTATGTGGTAACATGGACATGAGTAACCATTGAAACTTTTAAAAGAAATAAAATAAATACTACCTTGTCTCATTGCCCTTCTGCTGTCTAATAAATAACAAGAGTCTAAAATCCTTGAGCTAGGAAGAAAAGAAAAAATGAGAATTAATTCCATTTTTCGTCCCCAAATTGAAATTAAAACCCATTTTAGTCGCAGACTTTTGAATTGTCTCATAATGAGTCCCCAAATGACCAAGCTGTCCCAAATTAGTCTTGCGTCCTTCTGGTGGTTAAAATCTCAACACAAAAAGGCACAGGTTCCTTTTTAATACTCATGCCCTAACATGCAAAATAATTACAAAATTTACTGCCACTTAGCCGCCCATGGTACTTGCATGCCTTTTTCGATCGAGATTCTAACAGTCAGTTGGACAAAATTACTAAAGTGGATCAATTTCAAATATCGGAACCCGTTCTGGGACATTTTAAAAGCCAATGACTCAGATGGGATTTTTCTTATCTCTCCCCCCCCCCCCCCCCAAAAAAAAAAAAAACAAAAAACCATCTCCAAATGGTAAGCAAGACTGGTAGTCTGAGGGCAAATGTAGACGACTATGAAAAATAGTTTTGAAGCCAAGTTAACAGAATTTCTTTGGGGGAGGAGAAAACAATCCTACAAGTTATTGAAAATCGCGCTTTTCAACCAAATATTAATCAACAGTGATGTTTAGTCGTTTTTTATAGGAAATAGTGATGTTAAGTCATTCAATGGAGGAGATTTCAATCCAAGTGATTTCTGTAAACTTTTGACTTTGAGTAACAATTACCAAATAGAGCCAAACCCAAGACCAGATAACTACCACAATTACAGCTGCAGCAAACATAAATATCTCTCTCTAAATGTGGAACACACAGATAACAAGAATCATAAAAACCGTTTATAACTAAGAATTACGTACACATATATGTAAAAAATTTCTAATTATCATTATGTTAAGTAAGTAACATTAAAATATAAATACCTTAAGGCGTTCTCTTTGCTCTGAATATTTGAAAAGGATGGCCTCTCCCGTGGCACTAGCTTCCTCCAGCAAACGAGAAGAATTACGAACCGATTGCATTGCTTGTGCTTCCTCATCAAAAATTCTCAACACATGAGCAGATTCCCCATTCTATTACGCCATCGACAAAGAAAACACACCACATTAGGCTTCCCAATCCAAAACAGTAGAGAAAAAGGCTTTAAAAAAATTGTCATTTTTATTATTTACATACAGCTCTCCCAAGCAACTCTGCCTTCTCCTTAGCTTCCATCATCCTCCTCTGATTCCGCAGAAAATACTTATCCAAACTTTGTTTCAAAGATTCCGCCTCCTCCGCTACTTGCTCAACCTTTCTGCACCATTTTCCACCATTTGAGGAAATTGCTTCCCATCAGAATTTAGAACTATTTTCTTCTCAATTCAAAAATGATATCTAGCACGTCCATCACCAAATTCTTCTAACTCTGGGTGGAAGAAACAAATAATTGTACTAATTTTGTGAAAGAAACAAGAATATTCTTCAAAAACCCCAAAACAATAGATATTAATTTTACTACTAACAACACCGATCCCAATTGATTAACAAGAAACAATCCCCCCGAATTGATTTTTATGCAAGAATTCGCTAGTTGTTGAAAATTACTCGCTAAATTCAATGATTGATTTGAATCGATGAAGATCGAAAACCTAATAATAAAGTCGAAAGAAAAATTGTAGAGAGAGACCTCTTCCAGAGATCGCGTTGGGACTTGGCGGGGACAGAACGCCAGAGACGCTCCATCTCGGCGCAGATGGAGTGGATCTGAGAGATGTCTTTCTTGACGGAGAAGGAGAGATCGGGAGAATCAATGGAGGCGGAGGTGGAGGAGTACTCGAGGCGTTCAAGGCGCTCAAGGCCATCTCTGCTCCTGAGCAGAAGCTTCTTCGAACTCTGGTATTTCTCCGACAGCGTCCCTCCTCCGCCGCCGCCCATTTCCACCGCCATTACTTCTTCTTCGGAGAGAGAGAGAGAGAGAGAGAGAGAGATCGGAGTTTGGTTGGTATTTGGCTGATTGAGCTTTTTCCTTCCACGTTTGAGCAGTCTGTATCCGGCGCTTTTGCTTATATTAACTTATTAATGGGTGATGAAAAAAATATATATATATATACTGAGGATAAATAAGGCCACCTCAGTCTTCCAATACCGTATTGACAAGTTATAACTTATGTGGGTCCATCTCTTACATGTCTACTTACGGTTCTAATGGAAAGCCAATGCCAGTTTATTTACACCTTTCTTTTGTCTCTTTTTCTTACATGTCTACTTACGGTTTTATCGGAGATGTTTATTTTTTTTTGTATTTGTTGCTGATTTTGAATTATAATTTATAATCTTTTATAGTATTTTTTCTCATAAAAAATATACGTTAAGTAAAAATAATTTTGAATCATGATTCTAAATTTATGACGTGAATCTGATCCCGCAGTATCTAAAACCAATTACTAAAGGATAATCAGTTTTTTTTGGGCAGAGTATAATAGCAGTTTAAGCGTTTAAATTAATAATTTTAATTTATATTTAAAATTTTTATGAGAGAATAGAATTCTTATGATTCAAAATTTTTTCCTTTTTTTTTGTTGAGGAAAAGTCCGATGACTAGATTAAATTGAGGGTAAGTCCCGAAGGACAACGTTGGAAAGCCAACGGTGTAATACAGAGGTCCAATTGTGAGAGGACTTAGACTTAGTTTGATAGTGCTGTAGATTTTGAAAAAATTACTTTTAACTTTGCTTAAAGAAGAAGTAGCTGTTACAAAAAACAGCTGAGTATTTAGTAAACTATAATTATAGTAGCTGTCATGGTTCTAAAATCAATGTAATAGTATTTGATAAATTATGAGGTTGAATTACTGTGGATAGTTAAAAATTACGACTATATTATATTATACTATAATATAATATAAATAATTACAATATAATATATATTTATTATTATATTTAATATAAT